ACCATTATTGAATCAATCTGATTGCTCCAAATCAAACCCTAAGCCCATTATGGCTTCTCCACACAAATTATGAAAACAATGCTTCAAAGATTGAACATTAACCCAATCTCCATCTCCCTTGTTCTTCATCTTTCATGTCTTAGTCAACTCTCTCTTTCATCAATCTTTTTTCTTGATCTCTCTTGGATTTAGGGTTTTTTTGTTTCATTCGTTTTCCATACCATCCAAAACCCAATACAAAAAGATTGAACTTTTTGGAAACGGAAGATCTCACACTGGTTGGATAGAAGAACTATAACAGCCCAAATCCACTGTTAGCAAATATTATTTCTCTGGGTTTTCCCTTTCAGACTTTCCCTCAATGTTTTTAAAACGCGTATGCTAAGGAGAGATTTTCACACCCTTATAAATAATCTTTCGTTCTCCTCCCTAACCAACGTGGGATCCCATAGGAACAATATGTTCGTTATAAGCATGTGGAAACCTCTCCCTACATATGGGTAAACCCAAAAGAGAAAACCCAGTTACATGAACGGATACACTTGCTTTTTTATGTACTATCCATCTCCTCCGTATAATTATTAGAAGAAGTCAGAGGTCAGAATCAGGCAACCGATAAATCGTTGGGAGACGTAAAAGAGAGATTACATAATTTATTACCTAATGAATGAGTAGTGAATAGTGGTGGTTGTCCATGTCTTTATATATAGCTTTGTTACGAAAAGAAATCAAGATTGAGAGAGAGAGAGAGAAGAAGAAGAAGAAGAAGAAGAAAACCCTAATGAATCTTTGTGTGTTTGTATGATGAAAAGAAGTTGTTGGGGTTTGGGAAGAGCTGACAGAAGAGAGTGAGCACACACTGCAAGCAATTGTATGAGAAAAGTTCATACCTTTACCAGTTTGTGCTCATTTCTCTTTCTGTCAGGCCCCTCTTTCTTCATCTTTTTCAATCATATATCAACACTCCCTCTTCCCCTTTTCTTTACTTCATTCAATAACCTTCTTCTTTTTCTTTTTCTAAGGACCCGAACCCGAACAACCAGCATCGAGGAACGAAACAAGGAAGAAGGGAGTTCGAGCAATGTATATGTCGATGACGATGAGCAACGATGCATCACGAGAATGAAAGTAAGTGATGATGTTGTTTGAGAATGAAAGATCTTCTATGTTGCATCATGATATTAAGATCTCATGCATATGTATGCTTGTAAGAGTTATGACATATTGAAACATTTTCACTTTTTCGTTCTATATGGTTTATCATTTATGTGAGATCTCATATCGGTTAGAGAGAGAAGCGAAATATTCTTTATAAGGGTGTGGAAATCTCTTCCTCTCAGACGTGTTTTAAAGTTGTGAGGCTGATGGTGATATGTAATGGGCTGAAGCGGACAATATCGGTTAGCGGTGGGCTTGGGCGGTTGCAATTTGACTTTTTCGTTCTATATGATTTACGTGAGATCTCACATTGGTTAGAGATGAGAACGAAGCATTCTTTATGAGGGTGTGTAAATTTCTCCCTAGTAGACACGTTTTAAAGGTGTGAGGCTGATGGCGATGTGTATGAAAGTAATACATACTTGTGTTCTAACTAAGCAGTGTATCACCAACGGGATATTTTTAAACATGCATTTTAGAGTTTATGTTTTATAATGATTTTCCCGAGATCCCAAATAAAAATTTTAATTGTTCTAAAGATAATGTTTTGTCTCATACTTTTTCTCGCGAGTTTTCAATTACTTTTATAGCATGCATGTAATAACGTCTTAGTTAGTCTAAGTTCAAAAAGTCGGATCATTATGACTAACCCAAAACCCGAAAGCCGAACCGAATAACTTTGACCTAAGTTTCTAACAATTTGGGCTTTTAAACTTTTGGGCCTTGGCTATGGGACCTTGACCCCGTCAAAGATCTTTGCATAAAAGGGCCTCTTTTTATTACAATTTGCAATTATGGGCCAAAATTTCTAAAGATAAAAGTATATTAAAAAAATAAATTAGGTTAACTACAAGGATAAACCCTAATTTGCACAATATTGGTAAATAGAATGGTAAAAAAATATAGTGAGTGAATTTCCATAAAGACCCTTCTTTGAATACACACCGTGCGTCGATTTATTTCGTACGGATGACGAGGATGTCGACAAACAACGATTGTTGGTTACGACAGTAATAAACAATGATAAGCGTCCGACTCAGAAGATTAGGTTATTTCAAATTTGTAGGTACATTTCAGCGACAAAGAACGATTGTACTTGTGGATTTACTTCAATTCTGAGCGTTTTACGAATCATATATTTTGAAGCCAAGCTAATGAATGAAAAGAAAGCGGAGCTGTTATTGACGTAAAATCACTTCTCACGAGGCTAAAGTAAATTGAGTATAATTCAATCAGTTAAAACATGATTTTCGACTCGAACGTCAAACGTTTCAACAAAATGATGATGACGAGGGAACCTCATGCCCACGTTCATTTCAATATTAATTTTTTTATTAAAAAAAAAGTGAAATAATTGAAGACTTTAGAGAATAAATGATTTGAATTATTGAAAATTAATTTGAGAGATAACATTATTTTATTAGGAATGGAAAAAGGGTCGTTCTTTTTGTACATCAAATCATTTTTAATTTGTCTATTTCATTACCTAATTACAATTATTTAAAGTTTCTTTTTAGTTTTTAAATTCATTATTTTTGCTTTTTCAAGTTTTTAATAATCTCGTGTTTTTTTTTTTTTGTTAAAAATATCGTTATGACATGAATTTATTAATTTTATATATCATAGTGTTCGTGCATTGTGTTAGGTTCAGTTTAACAACTTTTAAACTTAATTCAGCGGTTCCAAGATAAATTTTATCGGTCTAAACCGTTCTTGTTAAACAATGAACTTAATCCAATCCAACCATAAATTTCTTGGTTAAGTTGGTTTGGGTGGTTTATTAAATTTTTATTTATTTTAAATAATTTAATATTTGCAACTCAGTCTTTTATATATATATAGATATATTAAATTAAGAGTAATGAAATAAAAATACATTTTTTTATTAACAATAAATTCAACCGGATTGGATTCGGTTGATAAAGTTTTCTGGGTAAGGAATTTTTTTGAATATTCTCACTCGAGGTTATTTTATTTATGCACTATTTTTTAGAAAAAATTGAACTTATAGACACTATTATGATTTAGAATCTACGGTCAATGTTTTCTGCTTCAAGCTTATCTACTTTAGTGGTGTTTTAATGGTTATAAGGCAAAAGTTCGTTAATCTCGAAAATTAAGTTCGAAGATGAAAAAGAGAAGAAACACGAAAAATGTTTGGTTTAAATTGGAGAAACGCTTTGAAAGTAACAAAAGGAGTGGGAATAAGTGTAAAAAGGAAGGCTTGAGGACATAAAAGGTGTTTGATTATTGTCCCAAAAGAGGACAATAATTGTACATAGCAATTCTATGTGCAAATCATACAAACAACCCTATGCCCATCTTTTCATCCTTTTTCAATAATTGGTTCGGCAAGCTTCGAGTAACGAAAGGATACATGAATGAACTAATAAGATATTTGACGGAGAACAATTCTTTATTTAGGAACTTCATTCTGAAAGGATCGGTGTTGATCTGTGAATAATCAAGACAAGTAGGTAACGTATTGTTAAAGACAATTTAAGACAAGTAGTTAACACGGTCATGCTGAAAATGACGGTGGAAAGGAATGTTGAGGCTATCGAGTGTCTTAGAAGGAATTAAAGACAAATAGGGAGCATGACTTGTCACAGTGAATGTCTGTAACAGTCCAGACTCACCGCTAGTAGATATTGTCTTATTTGAGCTTTCTACGTCCTTATAAGGAGTGATTCGTTCCCCTCTCCAACCGATATGAGATCTCAAAATGTTGGAACTATCAAATGTCAAATTCCAAATCTTGGAAACGAGACGTTACATTTTTTAACATTAAATATTACTTGGGTTTATTTTGTTGTATATTTTGTAAAGGTAATGAAATTGCAAGATAAATTACTACATGCCAAGGTAAAACTTTGTTAACTTTTACTGTTAAACAGATTTTTTTTTTTTTTTTTTAAATCACAAATATGGTTTCAATTATTATATTTTAGAACACAACAAGGACAAGACTGGACCTTTTTGTTTCTTTTTACCTTAATTCTCTAAGCTTTTACCTTTTGACAACAGTAAAAGCGTAAAGAGTGTAACTTCTTTTTTTACTGTTTGACAATGAATGTAATTGAATAATACACTTACAAAAATGCACTTAAAACTTTAACCATAAAATTGATGTACAAGTATAATGCCTCTTGATTCAGATTAGGGTTTAAAATTAATTTAATTTTTGTATTTCATCCCGTTTTCTATGATACCTCGAGCGGGTAGATTTTATTAGGCTATTTTCTACGATACCTCAGGCGGGTAGTGCCATTTTCTATAATATCTCATACGGGTAGTCTTTATTAGTCACGCTTTGGCTCTCGAACAGAAATTGGATCCGTCCAAAGCAAGTTTGTTATTCACCCAACATAAAATTACTATCAGCATACTTTTTAATATGGGTATTTCTTAGAAATCGTAAATTGTTTCAAGTTGTCACCGACCCAATATATAATTATTACAAGTCCAAGTCCCTCAGTTGAGTCACTAAACCTCGAACAAAGTACGTCTCCCCCCCCCCCTTAATGGAGGCTCGACTCCTTTTTCTTCATTTTTTTACTATGCAATCTATTAGCACGACTAAATTTAGGGCATGGCTCTCTGATAGCATGTTAGAGGAACACCAATCTTCACAATGATATGTATTGTTCACTTTAAGCATAAGCTCTCATGGCTTTACTTTGGGATTTTCCAAAAGACTTGGTACGGATGGAGAGAGTATTCTTTGATTATAAACACATGATCATTTCCAGCCGATTTTGATTATAAACTCACCATCATTCACTAAATTAGCCGAAGTGGGATTTTCATCATCCAACAAGAACAGACTCTTGATTCAATACCAATACCAAGTTTGAACAAATGGGCATTAGGATTATGGATTCATCATAATCATCAAACAAGAAATTAAGAAACAAATTACAAGAGATCATGAACATATGATGAAAGAAATCTTAAAGCCTAATTAAACTTTGAAATGACGTTCTTCAAGCTGGGGTCGAGCTCCCAGTCGGAGAAGTCCAAACAATGTCCTTCAATGCCGGCCGGAGCTCCTCCCTGCAGAATTGATTGTATTCTAAAGTGTCTCCGTTGTCCTTCTTCACCTCCACCACCACAAACGACGGCGTCATCGCAAAGATATCCACCGCAATCGCTAGTTTCCCCTTTCTCCCCTTCTCTTGCCCCTGCAATCGAACCCACGACTCGCTCTTCCTCACATCGAACTTCACTGCCTTCGCCACTTCCTCAAGCTTCGATATCACACTGCTCGCCGGAGATGAAGTCAAGAATCTAATCTCCTCTTTCTCCTCCCTCTTCTTCTCTTCGAACAACGGCGACAAATCAAACCCTTCCGATAGAGATATTATGTGGAATGCATTCAACGTTTCCGCCGGTTGATTCGATTTCGCCAAATTCTCCTCCATTTCTTCATGCTCCTTCGTAATCACACTCTTCGGTACCGATTTCTTGAACCATAACGACGATGTGATCTTCGCGATACCGACTCTGGTCACCGGATTCGGATCTAGAAGCTTCGTGACAAGGCGGCGAGCTTCGGGAGAGAACCACGGTGGACACCTGAAATCGCCTCTGTAAATCTTCCGGTACATCGCCACCATATTGTCGTCCTGGAATGGAAGGTATCCGGCAAGAAGAACGTACAGGATGACTCCACAGGACCAGAGATCGGCCTTAGCCCCGTCGTATCCCTGCTTTCCCATAACCTCCGGCGCAACGTACGCCGGAGTTCCGCATGTCGTGTGCAACAGTCCGTCTTGCTTCAAATGCTCCGAGAAGGCGGTGAGGCCAAAATCGGTGACCTTAAGGTTTCCGTCCTGATCGAGTAGCAGATTTTCCGGTTTCAGATCGCGGTGGTAAACACCACGGCTATGGCAGAAATCGATTGCAGAGATCAATTGCTGAAAGTAAACCCTAGCCACATCCTCTCGCAACCGACCTTTCACGATTTTGGAGAACAGTTCACCGCCTCTAACAAGCTCCATCGCAAAATAGATCTTCGATTTACTCGCCATCACCTCATGAAGCTCCACAATATTCGGATGCTTCACCCTTTTCATCACAGAGATTTCTCTCTTGATCTGCTCCATCATGCCGATTTTGATGATCTTCTCCTTCCCAACAACTTTCATCGCAACGCTCTTCCCCGTTTGCAGATTCCGGGCATGGTAAACCTTAGCGAAGGTCCCGTGCCCTAAAAGACGGCCGAATTCGTACTTCCCGTCGAGTAAACTCGAGTGTTCACCATCTCTGCCTTTATTCGCCATATGCACCGCCAGATTCCAACTCGATCGAATCGAGATCAGTAGATTATTGTGTTTATTTATTCGTACAGAGTGAATCTAAATGAAGTTAATAAAGAGAAATGGGAAGGAGATAAGAGAAAGGAGTTAGATCACCCGTCTTCGACGTGTTTCCGGTGACAATTTCTGCCGCCAATGATAAAGGTTCCGGATATTCCGATCAACTCAAACAGAATCAGCGAAGCCAATTTCATCTCTCCGCATTCCCAGAAGTGTTCTGAAATCCCACAACTTTTGTCTGCCTGCGTTCTGGTTTTCTTCTTCCGTTCTTCTGGACTAAAACCGCCTTAAAGCTTATATAATGGATTTTGGATGTGAAATTCCTCTTATGCCCCTCTTCTGATTACGCTGTCTTCTTTTTTCCTTCCTTCTATATCCAAAAAATAAATGTGTATTAATTGTATATTCTTAATAATATATATATATATATAATAGAATATTCTTAATTCTTAAATAATAGAAAAAGTGGCAATTTTAATCCAATATCGAATATTTGTAATTTAATACTTTATGATTACTTTTCAATTATTATTCGCGATTAAATCCTATAAAAATAAAAAATAAAAATAAATCATCGACCCTATAAATAAAGTTTATAGATTTCTTTAAAATTAAATTAGATGTATTAAATCAATAAAGCTAAATTTATTATTAATTTTAAAATATACATTTATTATTAAATTTAAAAGTAAATGTGAACTATTCTAAATATAATTTTTCAAAATTGACATGTAATTCTTAAAAAAATATTTAAAAAAAAAATTTACCATTTAATATTTGTACAAAATAGTGTATATAGTTGAGTTCATGATATAATGGTGGGGTCCACAAGTCGCGAATTTTGTCTTGGAATGATACAACATGGAATATAAAGGAATAACCGTCACGGTTTTTGTAACGGGGGATGCGGTGTGGGTCCCGTGAAGCCAAGGGATAAAGTTGTAAATTCACCAGAAATGAAATTCTTGTGCTCTGGTGCTGGTGCTGGTGTGGCCCACTTACAATGGTCCCCAACCATTGCTGTACTGACACGTGTCCTAGGTAAACAGTTTTTTTTATTTAACTTTCCTTAAACGATGTGATTGGACTAGAAGAAGTTGGTACATGAAATTTAATAATTATTGAGATTATTGTTCACTTTATTTATTTAAATTTTTAATAAAATTTAAAAATTAATTACTAAAACATCTATTTATTTATTTATTCAAATATTTAATTAATAACTCCATTTCAATCCATGTCAGACATCACAATCCACCTCTCTTTAGGGCACAGTGTCCTTATTGGCATACCGCCTCATGTCTACCTCCTTCGAGGTGTGGGATATCACAATTCACCCCTCTTCAGGGCCCAACGTCCTTACTGGTACACTGTCTCATGTCTACCCCCGAAGACATCACATTCCACCCCTCTTCAGAGCCCATCGTCCTTATTGGCACACCGCCTCATGTCTACCCCCTTCGGGAGACAACCTCCTCGCTAGCACATTATCCGGTGTGGGAACAACCTTTGTCTACCTCCTTCGGGGAACACACCGCCTCATGTCTACCCCCTTAAGGGAACAACCTCCTCGCTAGCACATCGTCCGGTGTTTGACTCTGATACCATTTGTAACGCCCCAAATTCATCGCTAGCAGATATTGTCCTCTTTGAGTTTTCCCTTTCAGGCTTCCCCTCAAGGCTTTAAAACGCGTCTACTAGGGAGAGATTTTCACACACTTAAGGTATTTCGTTCTCCTCCCTAACCGATGTAGGACATTACTATGAATCTCATTTGAATATGATTTTCGTTCATTCATGTCTCTTATTCAGTGTCATGTTGACTATGAAAAGTGGGTTTGTTTTCAAACTTGGAAGCATTCTATATATTCAACATAAATACAAAAGTTTTAAAACTAAGTTTAGAGTTTTCTTTGAAACTTTTAAAATATTTTTAAATTTTAATTTAATTTTTTAAGACAATTTTTAAGAAATAAATAATAATTAATAAAATATATAAAATAAGAAGCTCTTCCGACAATGGACCCCACCACCCCCGACGGCCGCTACCGGACAAGCTTTTTCTCTCGGACTTACATGCATGAACTAACATAATTAAAATAAATATTAAATTATAATTTTTTTAAAAAAATCGACAAAGCAACTAAAGTATGAATATAAAAAAAATATAAATTTATAATTTTTCTATTTATTTTTTTAATTTATACAGCATCGTTACCATATTAATACTTTTATTATGGCAATAAAATCATGTTTTCCATTAACACATTAAATTTTAAAATAAATAAAAGCATATAAGGAAATGTGTGGAATTGTAATTAGGAAAAATATAAATTATAACAATTTACTCCGTATAACCAAACCATATTTATTTCTCGCTCACCACTTCACAGTTTTAAAATGCATCTGTTAGGGAGAGGCTTTTACACTCTTATACGATGTCGTAAAATGAATTTTAATTATTTTATGATTAATATTATTATTTAAAACTAGACGGAATCTTTGTCTTTTTATTCGTATAAGAAACAGATCCCCTAATGTTAAATAAATAATATCAAAATGAGTTAAAAAAAGACAATAAAAATGCTTTTTTTAAGGAAGAACAATAAAAATATGTACATTGAAAGGTTAAATATAATTATGACAAAGAAAAGTCAAAAAGAAAAAAAAGAAAAAAGAAATTAGAGTTTATCCATTGCACTAACCCATTACCATATGAAATGGATGTATTATACGTTCGTGACAATTTCACACCTAACCAAATTTGGACGGTCCGTTATTTACGCTCCTCGTTTAATTGGATACAATTTTAAAATTTGAACTTTTGATCTTTTGATTCATGTTAGAAGTGTTCGTGAGTTGATTTAGGTAGGATTAGGTTGAGACAATTTTTAGACCTGATTGAATTGTTCGGGTTGTAAATTTTTTAACTCAAACCATTCTCAGTAAATAATAAACTCAACTAAACCGAACCATAAATTTTTTGGGTTGAATTGGTTTGGTTGAGATTTTTTAGGTCCAATCCAATTGTTTGTGTTATAAAATTTTCCAACCCAAACAACAGTCATTAAATAATAAACTCAACCCAATCATAATTTTTTTTTAAACATTTTTTTAAGAGGGATCGAAAATAAATAATAAAAAATAATTATGAAATTAAATAAATATACATGTTAGTTGGAACCCACGAATTAACGTAACTCGAGACTTTCACCCTCAGAAATTTGAGCATCATTTTTTCATTTCTAAGTTTTATGTGATTCGGGCATCATTTTTTCATTTCTAAGTTTTATGTGATTCTTGTGGTAGATTGAATTTGAGACATTCAAGTTCGATCATGGAATGACTGAATTTAGAACAAGGTTACAAATCTTGCTTCGAGATCTTTGATCCCAGAGGTAATCTAATTCTAGCATTATCTCTCAATTGAAACCGGTAACATATTTATTTATTTGAACAGAGTCCAACTCAAATAAATTTATACCTCTAACCTAATTTTCGGTTCATCAAGTTTTTTTAAACCTTCATACAAAATGTTATAATGTCTTAACGAGTTAAGTTATGTTCAAATTAAGACTTCTATCGAATCTCTAAACATCGTAAATAGTTCAAAATAGTTCAAAATGCCTAATATCGAGTAAGTCGAGAAGGTTTAGGCATTTTCAAAATAATATGTAATGATAAAACACGATGGATTGATTTCTACCATAGTGCATGAATTTACATGGTAATTTTGGCTAACTAGCTAAAAAAAAAACAGAGAAAAACAGCCTCAAAATTGTTCAATATTGTCTCTTGAGCTTCGAACTTACCGAAACCGTGTCGTTTTTTGGAGCTACTTCTCCATTTTTAACCTCTTGGTAGTACCGAAAGCTCACGAACACGAAGAACACTGCAAACATCGTACATACAATGTCATATAAAACATGTTACGCAATGCTGTTCCATGTTCAAACCATGCTTTGAAATTCATATGATCGAGTTTTCAGTTCGAAACGGTTACCTGCCCAAACACGATATAGAGTCGAAGAAAAACTCCAGACTACGAAGAAGAGGGCAACAGCCACTGCCTTCTTGTGAGAGCATAACTTCCAAGAACTCCCACAAAGTGTCAACCACTGTTCACCTAAATTTACAAAAGAGAACGCCATAACATCATTACAACTCTTAAAACACATCAACAAAAATCAAAAGAGAACATAATAACGGGTGGATTGTGAGATTCCACATCAGTTGGAGAAGGGAACGAAACATTCATTACAAGAGCGCAAAAGCTTTTACGCGTTTAAATAACTTGAGGGGAAGCTGCTAGTAGTAGGCTTGAGTTGTTACAGATGGTATCAAAGCCAGTCACCCAACAGTGCAAGGCACTGGTAATAGTAGGGCTAGACCCTCTCGAAAGGAAAAGCGCGCCCCAAAGAGGACAGTAGTTGCTAGCGGTGGACTTGGGCTGTTATAGTTCGATCTGTTGTTAGGTTTTATGTTATTCTTTAGGGTTTGGTGACATCTTTCGTAATTACCGACGGTGTTATTGTCGCAAAGCCCCTTTCGTGGGCTAAAGTGTATTATTTCATGATTGTACAAACTAGGCTTTAATAATGAAGAGGTACACAAACTCAATATGAAAGGCTATCAAAGACAGAGTATAAAAGGCAAAGGGTAGTCCCTAGGTTAGAAGGACAAACAACTCTCTCAAAGAGTGAGAGAGGTCACATGGTGGTGAGGCAGCCACATAGGATCCCTAAGGTAGAGACATGTCAACCCTTAGAGATTCGAATTCGTATATGACTCGCATAAGTTCGGCTCATATCTCGAGTCATACGGATTAGAGTGTTGAAAGGAAGAAGATGAGAAAGGATTCGAAAGCCATGGGGAAGAAAGGGTCGGGGTTGCTAAACTGTTGCTCTGATACCATGAAAATATCTGCTAAAATCCCGACACCTAATGGTGGTGAAAGTTCTCTATCTATAATCATTTACAAAATCAAATAAATCACAAGGAAAATAGAAAGAGGATACACGATAGTAGCCTATAATCAAGAGTCAAATATGATGCATATGTAAACCATAATGAAAAGTCAAATATCTTCAACGTTATAAGATATTAGCCTATCATCCATCGTCAAATATGATATATATATATATGGTAAACCGTAATGAAAAGCTAAATATTTTCAACAATACCATTCAACGCTATTAACAATAAATCGAAACACGAACGACAACGTTCCCGATAAACAGCAAATTTAGTCATTAATTTTTTAAATTTGTCTTTAATTGA